TTCTGAATTGGGAATTTTAATTTTGGAACCTGTAATCTCCGCCCACTTTGACCTCCATCCATGCCAGAAAAGCAGAATTGCTACATGAGCTTCCTCTACATTTCTGTTTAAGATTTCAGTCCTCTCTTTTCACCTTTTGTTTGTTTCACCTCACACTGTCATGGTGTGGATTTTGTTATTTTGGTTCTTATTTTATTAACATCAGTTCTCTGTGGGGTTGTTTTAGTCCCCCGCCCGAATGTGTTTCACCTGCGTGTCTTTCTGTGTGCCGTGCTCTTCCCCATTGGTTGCTGGTCCATTGTCTTCATCTCAAGAGTCCTTCAATGAATAAATTGAAATTTAACTTCTCTGTCTATGTTCCTGAGTTTCGTCCGGATTTTTGTTTCGTTTTTACCCTGGACTTTCATTTTATTGCGTTCATTAAATCACTAATTTTGCATTCCCGCTTTTTGGGTCCTCTACCACTTTCCCACATGACACTAATCTCTGAGAAAAAAACCTCACATAAAGGATTAACAGTTTTGATCTTCTGCAGTGTGACAGTAAACATATCTGCCTGAAATGGAAAATATGAGGTTTCATCTGATGTGTCACCTGTAGTAACATAATCCAAAACCTAGCTGATAGGTTTTGGATTGCATAATTACAGGGAGACAAGTCAGATCATGAACACGAGAAACTACACGTGACAGGAGTATTTCATGTTTAACCCTTTCATTTTTACTCCTTGATGAAAGCAACATAATTTTTTTGTGTTTTTTTTCCTGAGATGTTGGAGAACTATTCATTTTAATTAGTATAGCTACTGTTCACCTAACTTGTGCCGTGTGCTCCTCTTTCCTACTGTTCTATAACTTGTGATGCAACATTGAAATGTTCCCGCTGTAGGACGAATAAAGGATCTCTTAACTACTTAAACTACATAAATTATTTGTTTTGAACCCTAGTTAATTCTAGGCCTCTACAAAATGGTTGAGATACAGCTTGATGGTAAAAGTGCGTAAAACCAAGAGAGATTCCCCAATGGGCTGTATGCACGGGGAGGCGTGATGTCATTTCCTGTTAACGAAGAACAGCCCGTTCACTTCCTGTCTATGCTATCCTATGGCTTTTAGGTGAGTTGTAGTTTTTTAGTAATTAGATTGATACATTCAGCTGTGAGACTGACCCAAAAGCGTCGACGTGCTTTTTCTCTGAGGTAGAGCTTTGACTGTGGCTACTCAGAGCGATTAGTTAACTTAATAAAACACAACGACAGCACAATCAAAGAGTACTGCTGTGTCCCAAAAATGCCCAGTATCCTCACAGTTTAATTCCCGTTTGAGCATTATTTAGAAAACTCGTGTAATCATCTGCTGAACTCCAGTGAAACTCAAGCCGTTCCCCGCGCACAGGAAGTGAAGTGGGGTTAAAACTAAAAAGCAGAAGTGGTGCGTGCAAGCCCATGATGTCGATTTCAGTTCCAAGCTTCAAGTAGATAGAGTAACTCATTAAGTGATCCACCAAATGGTTAAGGAAACCATTAAAGGGTTAAAACATGAAGACGGATCATTAGTGTGGCCCTCCATATCCTGCCCAAACAGCAGGCAGTGTGTATTTGTGGTTGTTTGGGCCTGCAGCGGTCACTTTTTGTGTTTTATTGAACAGAGCAAAGGCCCCACTGATCATTCCATGTTTTACTTGCTATTTGGACATTCATTAAGCGTTCATAAACGGTCCTCTGCTGCTGTCCTACATGTTTCCATCCTGTTTGTGGCGTGTCGTGTCTGCTGAAGCCCTGGAGATATCACCAGTGCAGTTAATGCCCATGTTGCAGAGGTATTAAACTTTACTGCACACAATGTTTCAATCATCCTCACGTGTTCGAGAGCCGAGCGGAGGGATCAAGACTAATGGCTGTTTGTTTATGAGGAGCGCAGAGAGAGACTTTTAAGCAATTAAAGGTGCTGTGCGGAGGATTTAGCTGGATCTGCTTACACAAAGAGGATATTCCAAAATCATTTAGTCTGTAATCTGCGGTGAGTCATTTATTTTGGAATCGTTTGACGTGATCTGGGCATAATGCGCTGGTGGATAAAGGTTTCCAGTTCTAGATATTACTAACATTTTCATTTTGACTGGTAGTTGCTCAACATTATTCAACATCTGAGTTTTCAACATGTATTAATTAACCAAATCCTTAGTAATTCTTGTGTAAATCTTCTGTGTGTGATTAAAAACATACCTTAATGAGTACTGAATTATTTCTTCATTAGTTTTTCTTCTTCCCACTCCTTTTCAGGCATAATTTTACGGCCATGTTTATACCGTACATTTATTATACATTTTTTGTTCATACTGTTTTTTGTGTGTTTTGTCATTTATATTATTTAACTGCATTTAATTACCTTGTTTACTCACCTGTACCATTTTCTAAATATTAATGAATGAATGAATGAGTATTACCTAAACTTTTTCAAATATCACTTAATGAGTATATTTCTGACTCCCACTGATGACTGCTGTCGTTGTGTCCTTGGGCAAGACACTTAACCCCACTTTGCCCAAAGCCCCCACTGAAAGATCAAGGCTATGCTCACACTCAGAGAGCAGCCGTCCTCCTGTGGACTCACCACCTGCAGAGGGTCAGTGAGGGGCTGGTGCTATGAGACTTGGGTGGCATCTCTGACTGCCACCCCCCTGACCCAGAAATGGATTAAAGGGTAGAAAATGGATGGATGGATGGATGAGTATATTTCTATATTTGTACATGTATATTAGACAATTGTTAATGCCTATAAGTACTTGTAAATGATTACTTTATAAATTATGATCAATTATTTAAAAATTTGACCATGTATTTTTGTAGTTTTGTCATTTCTAAACAAACCAAGGAAGTTTCATGAAATGTGTTTGTCACCCATAAAACCTTAAAATACATATACTATCAATATGCCACATGCTAAATTAAAATAATTGCAGCGTTTGAAAAGAATTATTCTGGAATGAGAAAATATCTAAAGCAGAGGTCTCCAACCAGTAGCTCAGGAGCCACCAGTAGCTCGCCAACCCTAATCAATAAATGTACTCTATATTTCAAATTGAATTATTCATAATAAATATGTTTTTGTTGTAAATGCACTTACTTTTTGCACTATTAACAAATATGCAAAGATAAATAATGACTGTACCCAATATCACAAAATGAGCTTAAAGGAGTGGCTAGCTGCCTTTGTTGTCCCGGGAAAGTAGCTCTCTGGGTGAAAAAGATTGGAGACGGCTGATCTAAAGAAATTTCTGAAAAAAATTAGAATCCATGACAACTAAAAGACTGTTGACATTTTTATCATTTTTGTCCCAATAAAACCGCAATCATTACAACACAGAGTGAGTGGCATCAGTACATACATTCAGAACAGCACCATTTAACACTATTATAAGGCAGTATCAAAAAAGAGTTTAAAAAAACACAAACATTGCACAACATTAACCGCCATTGTGTCATCCCAGGTCCTCACCGGGTTTGACGAGACGTTACTTTGTCGTTTAATATAAATAAATTAAAACAAAACTACATTTGTTGTTCAATAACTTTGTTCATATGTTTAAAACCTTTTCTTTGTCGTTTTTTGCAGGATTCTTTTCTGTTGATGTGAAAAGGTTCAACACACAATCAAGAAACGCATTCCCACCGCCTGCCTGTTTCCATGGAGATACTTTAATGGTATGGCATTAAACCTCCATATCTAGATCAACTTTTCATTTATGATTAAAAAAACAGGAATATTTGAATAGTTGCAAGTTTAACGGAACACATCCTGGAAAGTCAACAGCGGACAGACACACCGCAAAAGTTGCATACCTGTAGTTCTCCTTTAACCATGTGATGAATCGTAAGACACGTTCACACTCTGGTCTGGTTCACTTTAACTGGATCAAGTCTAGTTTCAAAAGATGTGAACTGACATAACGAAGAAACAGATACACTATTTTGGCCATTAACAATAATAATAATAACAATAATATAGACTGTGAAATCATATCTTTGGTAGAAAATGTACTGTATGGTGAAAAGACTTCCCTAACCCTATGCTACCACTAGAGGGAGGTGTAGGGGATTTTGGAAATTACCGGATGCAAACGCTAACATGTGTTTATAAAGAACACCATTTCACCCGTGAAAATTAATGTATGGGGAGTACTTTGGTTTTAAACAGTGCATGGATGGATCACTCATGGACACTCATTCCTGTGTTTGGAGGTTTTAGAGTCACAAATAAGGACTTTTATTCGACTCAGTGAACCAGTGAATTGGTCCAGAACTGGTCCAGTTAAAGTGAACCAGAATCGGTCCAGTTTAAGTGAACCCTAATTGGTACAGTTAAAGTGAACCAGAATCGGTCCAGTTTAAGTGAACCATAATTGGTCCAGTTGAAGTGAACCAAAATCGGTCCAGTTAAAGAGAACCAGAATCGGCCCACTTTAAGTAAATCAGACCAATAAAATGTGAACTTAGTGTGATTATTTTGTGTAAAACTTTTCTCATTAAATTAAGCCACTCAGCCACTCGACAGGTGTCTCTGACCTTTTACACCTGACCTTCCAGATTAGCATTTGTATGTAGTTATTAGGGCTTTAAGTCTTTGGTTATCAGTCGATTAATTTGTCAACGGCCTTGTTGTTGACCATAATGTATTTTTCTTCTTTTTATGTTAATGTTTGGAAATAATAAGCAGAAGATTTTGTAGTAAATGTTGTCTTGGCCAACTACAGAACACATGTAGTTTTGAAAGCTTCTGCCTAACTCCCTCTTTAGACGACTGTCTTAAGTCACCTCAGCATTTCTTCAGCCCGAGTAGTTACTAACTTCAGTGCTCAGTAAATCTCAAAACCACGTTATGTAAAAACACAAAGTATACTGTTACATGGAAGTTTTTCACTGAAACGTTTTCGTTCATAACATTGATGCCAAGGCTTTGTCCAAGTCTGCTCAGAGTTATTCGAAACCTCAGTCCAGAGGCTTAGTACGGGTACGTAGAAATGGAAATGTAGATAATGAAGATGCTCTGGTAGCTGATGCGTCCCTGCGGTGAGATGGTTGTGGCTTGAACTTTGAGCCTCACTAATGCAGGCCTGTCTAGAGAGCGCAGCGTGAAAATAATTCCTCTTCCTGATTCGTCCCTGATGCCAAAAACCCTGCTGCTGACGTGGCCGCTCTCAGTGTCCTGCTCCAGGATGGTGAAGGAGGTGCGGTCCTGGAGGATGCCGGCCTCGGAGAAGGCTGATAACCGCACCACGTTGTGATTGGACGGTATTCCGGAGGGAAGAGTGAGGAGCTTGTACTGCAGGCGCTGAGGGGAGCCTTCTGTGGAGCAGTCCTGAGAGCAGGGCCTGTAGCACGTCCTGAAAGAGGAACATCAAAGTTCTGTAAGTGACTAAATACTGACACTATATCAAATAGCACTTTAAAGAGTATTGTTAGGATTTCAGGTTTGAGAAAAACAAATCTGATCACCTCCAGTGTATACAGAAATAAAGTCAAATAAAGTGACCATATCAATGAGAGTCACAAAAATGGGAGGCAAAAATGAACCTGATGAGTTTGATTGAAAGATGCAAGCTTTGGGGGAGGAGCTCAAAGGGGTTCTCCACAGAAAGGGAGGTGCTTCGTGGGAAACAGGTCGGACAGACAAGAGGAGGTTGGTGAACTTAGCTTAAGTTGGTGAACTTCTCTGGGCAACAGTGCCTCGTGAGGCAATTTAAACATGCAGTATATGAAAATAAATATTTTAATTACGTGGCTTTGTAGTTCTTTGTCATTATGATTCATGCTTGTGTCACACATGTGGCATGATTCAATAAAAAATAAGGTTAAACTTCAGTTTTAAAGGTTTGCAGACTCCTCTCCTGTGTCCATCTGAGAGATGTCTCTGGAAAACACATACCTGATAAGCAAGCTCTGGTGTTTTTTTTTTTTTATACAGTAAATCACAGAGCTTGTTTGACAGAACAAGTACGCACTCTCTGGCTGTTTTATGTGTACGTGAGCTTTAGAAATGAGACTCCTGGTCAATAGTGAGAGTCTGAGGTTGTTAACCTCTGACTCTCACCAGGTGTTGACACAGTTTCTCATTTTGGTAAAGAAATTCATTATTTTTTGCAGTGCAATAACCGTTAACTAGCATAATATAAATGATGAACCTAAACATATTATGAAATAACATGCTGGGTCATACCCTGGGGTCCCTCCTCTGCGGTAGGCTGCTGGGCAGGGTGTGTCCAAGCACTGGTATCCTCCTCGGGTATTAAAGCACATCTGATTGAGATCACACTGAATTCCCTGCTCCAAACACTCGTCAATGTCTACAAGGAGAAGAAAACACAGCTCATTCAATAATATGAAATATATCAGTTGTGTTAGCAGTAGGTGTATGGCTGCAGCTAGCCATGGTCTCAGAAATTGAGTAATAATGTTATACCTTAAATGCAAACTAAAACAAAGAAAGTCTTGTGAGAGCTAATAAGTGCCGTGCAGTTTCATTGGTCTCATTATGAACAAAAATAACTAATGAATTCTAATCAAAATATGCAATAAATTACATGAAATGTTTCAGCTCTATAAAGGTGTACCCTTTACCTTTACAAGTTCTGCCATTAGGTAAGAGCTTATAACCCGCTGGACAGAGACACTGGAAGCTGCCCATGGTGTTACGACAGTCGTGCTGACACGGCTTTCTCAGACATTCATCGACATCTATGAAAAGAGAAGAAGAAAACATTGACACATTTTTAAGTATTGAACATGTTTAACAGGCAAGGCAAGTTTATGTATATAGCACACGTTGTCCTCAAGGAAACTCAAAGCACTAAACAAAACAAGATCCTCACCAACACAGGTGCCGTCTCTGTAGGTGTGTCCCGCCGGGCAGCTCTGCCTGGTGATGCGGGACACCCCTGTTGACCGGGACAGAATGGGGCGACCCACAGAGGACACCAGCTGCGGTCTCAGTCTGGCCCTCACCCTGGTTCCATTGGTGAAGGCGAGTCCCCGCTCTAGTCCTGCACAGGAGCGTCCATCCCCCAGCAGGACAGTCCCAGGTGGGCATAAGCACCGGAAGCTGCCAGGGACATTGCGGCACCGATAGGCACACGGGTTTGGAGTCTGAATGCATTCATCAATGTCTGCAAAAACAAAGACAGACTTACTGTATATGCACAAACTCCAAACGTTGGGGGACCAAGCCTTTGCCTTCGCCGCACCCACTCTCTGGAACTCACTCCCCCAACTCATCAGAAACTCCGACTTTAAATCACTTCTCAATGCCACCTGTTTCACCTTGCCTTTCCTCAATGTTTATTTTTATGTGTTTTTTATTTTTATTCTTATCATTATTAAACACATTTCTGAACAAAAATGTTTAGTCATCATATATCCTTGAGTCGTTCAGCTAGTCTTTAGGACAATACAGGAGATGTCTTACCGAGACAGGGCAGGCCCACTCCCTGGGACCTGTAACCTCGAGGACACACACAGCCGTATCCCCCGATCGTGTTCTGACAGATCTGAGTGTACCGACACATGTGGCTTCCATCCTGACACTCGTCAATATCTGGAAACATAATGCACTCCTTATCTCATCCCAAATCAATTATGACATTAAACAACAATAACACAGGCCAACGGACAGCAAAAGAATCCGATTACATACATATAAACTATTTGTGCAAAAATCTAAAAAAGTTGCCTCAGTTATATTGCTAATATCGATGGTGCTCTCCATACTTAAAAGTCTATTCACTTCTTTAAGTAACTGACAGTGTGAAACTAATGTATGCCAGACTCAAAGTGAGATATATCAAGCCCAAATAAAACATATAAAACCCACAATAAAACATCTCAGAAAACGTTTGAACATGGGCCGTAAGCCTTAATCATCAACATTATAACAAACAAAGGCATATGTCACTCTGCAGGCATTGAATCTAATCATATGTGGCTTTCTCATTGTATGTTTTGTGTTGAAATAAATTAACTTTTGAACAATATTCTAATTTTCCAAGTTTCAGCTGTGGGAAATACCCTTTGTGGGTGAGGCAGTGAGTAGGGGGGCCTCCACCTTGTAGCCACCATTTCTTAGCAGCAGTAAGCCCCACAATGAGAATCCTTTGATAAAGAAATTTTTCTGAACCATATTTTTTTTTTGCAATACTGTCTTGGATCTGTATGTAAGTAAGTAAGTCATTTTTATTTACAAAGCACATTTCAAGGTCACCCAATTACTTCCTAATTTCCCAATCACTCCACACACAGTGATGACAGACACCGAACAACTGGTGCATCAAATACTCTGACCGTCACACCTGTTGTACATGTTTTAGATAGTGGTAGATAGTGCAGACACAGGGAGAACATGCAAACTCCACACAGAAAGGAATTAAACCTTCTTGCTATAGGTCCTGCGCCACCGTGCCACCTATGTGTGTGTTTGTTTATATTTTGAGTTTGTGAACTCACCTACACAGGCCCCAGTCTCTCCTGTGGTCATCCCAGACGGACAACTGTCAAAGCACTGGTAGCCGCCCTCTGTGTTTCGGCACTGCTGGTGAGCCGGGCATACGTTCATCATGCATTCATTTATATCTGCGTGTTGCAAAAAGAATTGTAATGAAATCAAAAGAAAATGACAGAAAATGTTCTTTATAATCTCATACTAACCCAAGCAGCGATGGCCTGACTGCTGATACCCAGGATGGCAAACACAGCGATATGATCCGAGAGTATTCACACACTGGTGCTGGCATGGAGAGAGGGCGGACTCCAGGCACTCGTCGACATCTGAGACAAGAGGAAGAACCCAGCAAGTAGGATAAGTTAGGTGAAGAAAGAAAGTTAGGTACCCCAGCTTTAAGAATACCATCTGGAAGTACTTGCCTTCGCAGCTTGCCCCTGTGAGGCTGGGCTTGAATCCTGGTCCACATTTAGCTTGGCAACGATAAGTGCCCACTGTGTTAATGCACTGCTGGTTGAAATGGCACATGTGGGAGCCCTGAGCGCACTCATCAATGTCTGAACAACACACCGAACAAGGGCAGAGGCAGAACTCAATCAATATCAACAAATGAACAGTGATTGTGGTTTCATAATCTATTCATTGTCAGTTAGGGTTATGTGCAGGATGTGTAAAAGTCCATTCACTTCTTTATGTGAACCTATTATGTAACATCATGTTTTTATTTGTGAATTGAGCATTACTGTTCACTTTCCTTCACTTCATTCAGTTCAAATCCCAAATAATACATCTCATAAAATCAGCATACTTTCCCAATTTACTGTAACAATAAAAAGCTTGGCATTTGTCACTGTTGCGTGTAATGAGTCTATGTTATATATTGGTTTCACATTTATAGTTGAATTACAGAAATAAAATTTCTTTTGAACGATATTTATTTTAATTTATCAAATGTGTACGCTAAATTTAAATGTACATACTGAGAATATACGGTTGAATATCAATAGCCCGTTTGTCTTGACTCACAGCGGATTCATTTAAGACTAAGGATGTCCTCTTAGAAGAAAGGAAAACAAAACAATATTTTGTGAGATCTGGGAGTGATTAGAATAACTAATGCCACACATATTCAGCCTAGAGCTGTAAAATGGACTAAGCAAACATGATCACCAATGATCACCAGCTATTTTAAAAATTAGACTTTTTTTTTTCAAAGTATTTTTGTCAAAGTTTTGAATCTCGAAAAAACACAAATGCCACTGCATTTGTGTTTTAGAGTTAATGCACCTTATTACAGACGGACATGATTTCATTGCTCAGCATCTAACTCACCTTGACATGTGTTGGACTCTGTAGAGATGGTGAATCCTGAGGGACATGCACAGGTGAAGCCTCCCATGATATTGTTACATGAATGTGAGCACGGAGACTGCAGGGCACATTCATCTTCATCTAAAAGAAAATCACACACAGTTCAATTGAGTCATAAGGCATGTATTAATAGAAATAAAATGAATACATTATAAGAAATGATGTATACCAGCACAGAAGGACGCCTGGTCAACAACAAATCCTTTGGGACAGCTTTCTATGTTTCCTTCTATAGAGTAAAAAGTGATTGGTAATAATGTTTCTTCTGTAATACAGTGAACCATGTATAAATGTTTTTAAAAGACCTGGTATGAGGAGATTGGCATTCATACTAAAGTCCAGTGTTAGTGTGAAGGTATTGTAGACACTATTGAGCTCAGAAACTTTCAGCAGCTGGAGGAGAGGGCCTCGACGCTCCTCGGGGCCTTCATAAATAATTGTATGGTTACAGCGCAGGACCAAGGGATTTCCCCCCCTTTGGTGAGTTTGGGACGACCATGAATACAGCTGCCCTTGGCCTGTCTGCACGTAGGACTCATCAAACTCCTGCGAGACAAAAGCTCGATTAGACCTGCCAAGGGCACTTAAAAAAAGGCAATTATATGGATCAAAAAGTCAAAATAGAGCAGAGCACAGACCTGCAGATTCACATGCGATGAAAGCAAAGGAGGGATGTGTCCATTAATTACTATGTCAATTAATAAAATGCCTTCAGGATCAATCCCTCTGGCAACATGGGTCAAACGGAGAATCTCTCCTGAAAACACAAAATAGTAGCTAGTGCCATCCTCTGGTCATTTTGCATACTACAACTATTACAATTTTGAAATCCTGGTAAGTTATATTATTGGGAGATAAACTTGAAATTGCCAGTTTATAATAATTAAATGAACCTCACCGGTGTCAAATTCCAGCTGAGACTCCTGTCTAAATTGTCCTTGAGTGAAAGAGAAGCCATTCTGCGTTCCTGCATTTTCTAACACTGTGGACCAGTAGATTGGAGCAAACACTGAAACGAGCACTCGCAGCAACGGACCTGCCACAAAATTGCAAAGTCAGTCAAATTTGCAAACAATACCATGAGCAAAGAAATCAATAAATGCATACACACAATTAATACTAACCGATATTAGGAGGGATGTTGTCCAGTCGAGCCTGTATTCTGCTGCTCTCATCCTCCTCGTGGTCTGTGATGTTTGCCTCCAGGAAGGACACACCAAACTCCCTCTCATTTACCATCCCTATCAGGCTCCCTCTGGTCCTGCGAGGGCTCTCACCTACAAACACACAATCATTGCTTTAATGTGAGCATGAAAGGGCATATAAGGAACACACTCTTCAAAAATAGCATACTTGCGATAACAATAAAGAGAGTGGATTTGGTCCGCTCAACGTAACTGTTGTGTCCATATCAAATACATAAATACAATAAAACATAGATTATTTTGGTAGAGTTTGGGCTATAGATTAAAGCTGGGGCCCCAAACTGAATAGGAAAAAAATCAGACCAAAACAAGCTGTGTTAACATCCCTGTGAGCCACTAGTTGATGATTTGGGCAGAGAGCTGATTGGCTGAGAGAGGGTGGTCCTCTATTTTTTCCCCTTTTCTGTCAAATAAAGCTGATCTAAAGACGAACCAAAGAACCAAACTGTTTTGAAAGCAGCTTAGATGGATTTCTATATGGTAAATGTTGTGTGTTTGAAAGTCAGGTTTTAGCCTTAAGAACAACTATGACAATTATGAAATGATTCAATACAAAATATACTTAAATATACCGTATATAATTAAATGTTCAGCTTCACATTGCCTGATGGAACTGGATTAATGATTACTATAGTGAAGCACTCGATATAGCTCAATGGTTAAAACTATCAGCCTAAAACACACCTGGACACAGACCAACTTGGCATTTCCTTGAGTCGATACTGGAACCAGTGCAGGACCGGCCTCCGTTCACAGGCTCTGGGTTGTTACATCGTCTTACTCGTTCTTGAAATCCTTGTCCACATGTGCTGCTGCATGGACCCCACTCCTCCCAGTTAGAGAAGCCTCCGTTTACTGATGGAAAAGGATAGTGTAGTTCGTACAAACATGTAATGTCTGATGGAGGTAAATAGATAGATACATGTAGTTTACAAGATATGACACTCACTCTGAACTTTAAGAGAAATAGTTCTTTCAGCAGTTCCAGCTTCACTCTCAGCCACACACTGGTACTCCCCTTCATCTGCAGCCTGTCAACAAACAAGACACTTAAGGAATAAGAGATCTTTTATTCGTCCCACAGCGGGGACATTTCAAAATTAAATTACTTTATTATAGTATAGTCAATAACTTGGTTTACTAATGTTGTAAGCTCATTGGAATAACTGAAAACAGACTGAAATTGACCACTATGTCTGTTGCTACTGCCACTCTGACTGAAATTACACAAATAGGATGTTGCTGCCTGGCCAGACAGCTTTAAATATGTAATTGAAATAGATAGTTACAAAGGGTGCCTTAATGCATTTCAAAGGGTGTCCTAATGCATTAATAAATACTGTATAATAAGAGATGAATGAAAAGGCATAGTTACAGTGACACTGTAAATGACCAAGGATCCATTGAGAAGTGTCTGCATGCGTAAGGAGCGAAGCAGTGGCCATGCGCCCCTCATCCACCGCAGGACGGGGCTGGGGTCTCCGTGAACAGGACAGTCCAGCAGAGCAGAGCTACCCTGGACCACGGTCTGTGTCATTTGTGCTTCACCCTTAAGCACTGGAGGTTCTAAATACAAAATAAAATTCAAGTTTATTGCCAACCAAAGTTATAGACATGAATATGCACATACCCCTGATGCGGACAAACGAGAGAGCTCGAATGGAGCCCACAGTGTTCTCTGCGACGCACACATAGGTCCCAGCATTTTTCATTGTCACATTTTTGATAAACAGCAAACTCCTGCCTGCTTCGTCTACGCTACCTGTGGAGAACAATGGCACATCTGCCTAAAACAGTTCAAATGCACATAAACGAAATGGACTAAAACTAGGTCCAGCACCTGTGATGGGGTTGTTGTTGACAGTCCAGGAGATGACAGGTTCAGGGGTGCCCTGAGCGTGGCAAGACAGAGTCAGGTTTTGGCCCTTGTTCAGGCTCATGTCTCCTGGGAGCTCTTTAAAAGACGGCCTCATATTGATGGACAAACGAATGTCCTGTCTCACTGAACCTGCCACATTAGTAGCCACACATGTAAACACACCAGCGTCCCTGAGCTGTAAAGAAATATTATACATAAATCATCTTTCAAAAAAATGTTCTCTTTAAAGTGAATGTTTTACCTCTGCCCTCTCAATAATCAGCTCTCCAGAGCGAAGGACAGTGAATTTTCCAGGACGAATGGGGACAATGGTCCCGCCCTTTTCCCATGAGACTCTGGGCTCAGGTGAACCTTGGGCAGCACAGGGCAGCAGCGCCTGAAATTCTTGAATAACCGTTAGTTCTGTTTGAGCAGGAGCAATAACTGGGGGCACTGCAAAAAGAAAACATGTATTTATTTTGAACTCCTTATTTTGAAAATGAGATTTTCCTTTGAGACAAAAACCAACCTTGAATAATCAGCCTAATGTCATGGCTAGCTCTGCCGGCTACATTTTTGGCAGTGCAGGTGTAGAGGCCAGCATCACTGCGCTGACTCGAAGGAATAGATAATGTTCCATTTGCAAAGATACGAACATGAGCCCCATCCACCACAGGCCTCCTCTCTTTCTGCCATGAGACTTCTGGCTGAGGTTGGCCGTCAGCTACACACTCCAGACTAATTGGCTGGCCTAGCACCACGCTGTACTCCACACGGGGCACACTTAGCACCGGAGGAACTGGAAAACATGATATCAATTTATTTTTTACATAACACGCATGAAAGCATATGCATGTGCCTGCAGGCGGGGAAACCCCAAGTGACTTGGGTTGATTAGGCTGCTGAGACCCAAACACAAGCTGTATACAGAATACTAATATCTGACTTAGCCAACCTTGAAGGACTAGTTTGGTTCGGCCCACAGCAAGACCAGCTTCATTCTTAGCCAGGCACTGGTAGGTCCCTGCATCACCAAGTGTGACACGGGAGAACTTCAGAGCTCCATTGGAAAGTACTGCCAGCCTATGACCTAAAAAATGGTTCATGTTGATTACAGCATAGACATATAAACCATGGATCAGCACAGGTTTGATCAGTACCTGCTGAGATGGGTACACCCTCTCTTTGCCATGTGATAGTCGGTCTGGGGAAGCCATGAGCCTCACATGGCAGAACTGTCCCGTGATTCAGAACCACTTGCACTTCTTCGGCCATTGGCTTGATTTCTGGGGGTTCTACATTCACAAATAAAGGAGTTGTATTCATGAAGAAAATATACGCTTTATTAACAACTCAAAACAATGTCTTACCATGGACAATGAGAGACATGTGCTTGTGTGCCACTCCAGCTGGATTTCGAGCCGAGCAAGTGTATCTGCCAGCATGACTTGGTGTAGCAGACATTATCTCGAGTACGCCTTGAATTTATATTTTCATATAAATTAAATAAAGCTTTACACATGGTCATAAAAAAAATGAAAACTGACCTGTTGGTAGAATTCGATGACTCCCTCCTCTGGTGCTTAGCTTGGATCCACCTTTAGTCCAGGTGACTGTGGGCAGTGGCTTTCCTTGTACGTTACAAGGCAGCACCACAGGAGATAGTTTTACTGCTGTGACCGCAGTGGTGTCGTCTTCAATGGATGGAGGGACTATGAAACAGAGACTTGTGACCTCACTAAAAATGTTGACATTTTTTAATTTCTTTGACTACTTACCTTGAAGAAGGACCTCAATAACTCGTCTCTCCTCGCCTGCTTCATTGACAGCAGTGCATTCAAAGTATCCCTCATCTCCATTTGTTGGAGACAAGATAACCAAAGAACCAGAAGTGAGCAGCCTGGATACAGAATCATACATGAGCATTACAAAAATGTTCTCATTTTTTTGCTATATTTTAGAGATTATGAAATATAACACAACATCTCTTATTCACACATTTCTAGTTGTTGTATGAAGCCATGAACAGGTGATACATGGAAAACCCACAGTCTGAGTTTTTACCTATTGTAATAATAATAATAGTATTTTTCTAGTATCTTTGTTTTCTGACATTCTGACCACTGGGTTGCTACTCATTGAGCTATTGCTTAATAAATGACGCTCTAAGTAATTTTATATCACTGGCATTTTCCAATTCCAGTCATATAAATACAAATGAATAAGAATATATAACAAGCAAAGCATGAAGTGTGGTGTTTGAGTGTTGTCTTTACCGGTATTGGTCAGGATGCTGGCTGACATCCAGTGGGGCACCATTTCTCTTCCAGGTGACCTTAGGGGGTGGTATACCAGTGGTCTCACAGCTCAGCACAGCTCTGACTCCTGTGGTGGCCGTTACATTAAAAGGTCCAGGGCTGATTGATGGACCAACTATTAAAAGAAGTTAATGTCCTTAACTTGAATACAAATAATGTATTATCTAATCTTTTCTTCAGCTTACCAAAAACTTTTAAATCTATTCCTCTGTGGTCAGATCCCGCCTGGTTAGATACAGTGCAGAAGTACCGTCCAGAGTCACTTATCTGGACTTTATGGACATGCAGGGATCCTTGCGACTGAGTAAACCTAGGGAAAACAATACAGAATGTCAATGTCAAGGATTGCTTTTTTTTTTTTTTGTGAAAGAGCATGATTTACTTTGCGTTGTTCTGAGGGAGAGGAAAGCCATCTTTTCTCCACATGACAGTGGGAGTAGAATCTCCTTGGACTTCACATGTTAGAAGGGCGTCTTGATCTACATGTGCAGTCACTACTGAGACGCCCTCCTTTATTACCGGAGGTACTATTTTTGTTACATGGAAATTCAACTTTAGAAGTTGCAGAATTATGAAGTGATAATGAAACAATGATAACAAAAATACTCACATAAAATCTCAACAGTAAAAAATAAACTGGTGCTTCCTGCCATGTTGGTCACTACACAGCTGTAGTGGCCACTGTCTTCAAGTTGGACTTCCTGGATCTCCAGATACTGTCCTCCCGCCAGCCCTTGGATTCGTCCTCCTAACTGAAAACAGCAAGTGGGTTAGACTGTGAAAGGCACATTGTTAAGCAATGCGCAGCTCCTTGACTCCTGTTACCTGCATTTTGGTATCATCCTTGTACCACTCAATTTTAGGAGGGGGGTTGCTGTCAACCAAACACTCCAGTGTCAGATGCCCTTTCACTGGGACAGTTCTTGTTCTTATGTCTCCAGAGCCAACAAGCGTTGGAGGGACTGAAAGGCAATAAAACACAAGTACACAACTGAAATAAAAATGAATTGATATCCTGCCTTTTAAGTACATATTGTCGTTGGGAAGGGAAAGCACATCAAATACAATATTAGTCACCTTGGATGCGAACCCAGTGGTTTTTACCATCTTGTCCTGCAAGGCTGCTTGCTAGACATGTGTACAGGCCAGAATCTTCAGGCTTGGAAGAAAAAAAGCTCAATTCAGGTATAGAGTTTCTTGCCCTGTTAATATTTTGTATTTAGAAAAACTTTTATCCTTAAAAAAAAAATTGTATAATATATTGTCTACACATTAACATGAATTGTATAACATTCAATCATCTAAAATATTTTTTTCATGAAACAAATTGTTCCTTTTAACTTTACCTGTACTTTGCTTATCCTGATGAAGCGTCCATTCTCCTGAATAATGTCAGTTCTCTGCAGGGGGTTTCCGTCTTTAAGCCAGCTGAGTGTGGGGGGTGGGTTTCCCACCGCGGAGCATTCCAGCTCCAGGACACTGTTCACTGCCAACATCAGCTCCTCTGGGCTCGAGCTGGAGATCTGAGGGGGTTCTAAGCAGTAAATAAGTTTAACATACTGTATTTAGACCTACATTTGACGTGAAAAAAATGCAAGCATTTTACAGACTGGGTTGTTACCAAGCACGGTGAGATTAAAGCCCTTGGTACTGCTCCCCGCCTGGTTACTGGCCACACAAGTGTAAAGGCCTGCATCTGAAGGAGCCACGTCAGGCAGCTGCAGTCGGGTCTCCTGTCCATCCAGCAGAAGGTTCCGGTGAAGGGAAAGAGGCTGTCCATCCTTAAACCAGGTGAGAGTTGGAGGAGGTACCCCACGAGCCTCACAGGTTAATGTCACTAAAGACCCTTGGACAACCGTGACAGGCTCCACTGGTTCCACATGCTCAACACCAGGGGGCACTGCAGGACAAGTATGGCATGTATATAAACACACAATGTCAGCAAATACAGCAGATTGTATAATAAATGTACCTTGAACTTGCACATCATAGCTGAGCTCAGCCAGCCCTGCACGACTGCGGGCTATGCATGTATACACTCCTGAATCAGAGAGATGCACTGGGGAAATCCTAGGAAACAAGGTATTTATCGTATGTAACTCTACACAACATACCACAGCATCACAACGTGTATGATTTTTACCTGAGGACTGAATCACCCGAGAGGAGACGAGAGCGAGGAGAGAGAAGAAGAGGGCGTCCATTCTTGAGCCAACTGATTCGAGGAGGAGGGTTTCCATCTGCTCTGCACTCCAGGCTCACAGAAGTGTCCTGAGTGGCTTGTACCTCTCTGGGCACAGTGGTTTCACCAGAAATAGATGGTGGGACTGTGACATGGATCAATGCGTCATAATTCCTCTCAGGCTAGAATGTATATATTTTTCAAATGTAATCTTACCTAGAACAAATAAAGTGTAGATTTTGCTGTCCCGACCAGATGGGCTAGCAGCCACACAGGTGTATGTCCCAGAGTCTTCTGCACTTAGCCTCAGCAAAGTCAATGTGCTGCCATCAAAGCTCATACTGGAAAAGTCCAAAGTCACACAGATAAAACTTACTTATACACAAACAATGTATGCCTATATCATACCGTATATGACGTGTGTCTGAGCCTGCTATTGTCACTCCATCTTTGAGCCAGCTAATTTGAGGAGGAGGGATTCCATTAGCTTTGCATTCAAGAGTGAGCTCCTGTCCCAGAGGTGCGCTCACATCAGAGGGGTGCTGAGAATCAATAATAGTGGGAGACACTGGGAACAATACAAATCCCTTTAAAACTGTGCTCAGACTTCAGGTGTTCATTTCAGGAGTTGTAAAACTGACCAAGCACTGTGAGTTTGAAGTCTCTCTGAGTCTGTCCCTCACTGTTCTTGGCCACACAGGTGTATGTTCCTGCATGCGACAGAGTGAGTGGTCCCAACTCCAGTCGGTTCCCCCGAATGGACCACTGCCATTGCAAACTGCTCTCTGAATTAAGCACAGTTTACTTTTTTATTAGTAATGCTGTAGAATAATTTGTTTGCACCATCGTGAAAGAATTACCAATTGGAGTTCCGTCTTTGAGCCATGAAATGCTTGGCACAGGGTCTCCTGAAGCCTCACATAGGAGAGCAATATGAGAGCCCAGAGTGTAGTTAACGGACTCCCAGAGAGGCCCATCCAGGACTGGAGGAACTATGAAATGACAGAGACATTAAACTAATTCCCATTTTAACAGTACCTGTGCAACAGTCAAGACTTGTCTCACCATGAACAGCAACTCTGAAAGTCCTGTCCACCTGTCCAGCCACGTTGGAAACTTTGCAAGTGTAAGTGCCACTGTCAGCTACCTACAAAAATAATTATAATATACAGATTATTATTTACCTTATAGAAAATAGACCAATATTTTTTATCTCTCCTTTTTGTTCTGCTATCTGATACAACAGTCTGAGCAGGGACCCCAGACTATCCACTCCTCAAGTTCTTTTTGGGAATCCCAAGGTGTTCCCAGGCCAGCTGAGAGACATAGTCTGAACTTGGGAGTGACATGTTTGATGGTGGGACAAATCCGTGAAACCCAGTGAGCCGTCCAGCCTCAGTTGTTCCACTCCGATGAGCAGTGACTGCCCTGCTCCTCAGCCTATTTTTACTATTTTAAAGGCGGGAGCTCCTTATATCTGCAATACTTGTCCAAAGTTAATGACTACAGGTGTAAATAGGAAACTAGCTTTGCCTTTTAATTATTTCTCACAGTCCAATACAGCCACCGCATCACTGCAGAGAATGCATGTTTCTCAATCTGATTCTCCATCTTTGCAAGTAATACATTCTCCTCATACAATACCTCAGTGTTTTTCAACCACTGTGCCGCGGCACACTAGTGTGCCGTATGATATTGTCTGGTGTGCCGTGAGAAATTCGTCTACTTTGTCTAAAAATAACTGCATTCGCTGTTGACGAGCGGTGACTTGTTTTGAACTGTGAGTAACCATGTAATACTTTTTCAAATCAGTAGATGGCAGCAGATAGCTAAGTACTTTGAAACTGAAAAATTGGATGCGACCACTGGCAGTAACAGGTCAGCATTGTGGCGAGAAAGGTAAAATTGGATGCGACCAACAAATGTGGGAGGGAGCGAGACAAGAGCTTTGTGGCGAGTGAGAAGTGAAAGTGATAGAGACGTTTTTGAAAATGAATTATGCCGTTTCTGAACAGGATTAACATCCTCCGCTCTGCCCCGGGGCAGCTGTGGCCGCGTTGTAGTGGTTTAACTATGAAATGTACGATTTTTGTACAACAGCTCTCGCGAACGCACTTCTGAACTGGGTACCGAGCGCAGACCGTAGTCGAGTGGACAGAACCACAGACATGCGGACCGGACAGAACCATGGACTCGCGTTCAGGACCTCCCGTGTCCCTCATCCAAAACTCCTGAATTTAAAGCTCGGATACCAAAATGTTTCCCATGCACTAACAATGCATGTTCTTTGTGTGAGTTATTATTTGACTATTTGGGCAGAGAGTGGATTTTCTTAGTTTTTTTCCACACAGTTAGTGCCACTTTATTCCCAAACTCTTGTTAATTGTATCGAGAAATATTAAATAAAGCTTAATTTCAAGGCCTGGACTTAAGCATTTTGATGAGAATAACTGTATATTGTGAATATAGGCTACAGAGTATACTGTATACATTATAAGATAAGATATACTTTATATATCACACAGAGTATGTACAGTATATATTTTTTTACATTAGTACTGTATACATTTTTACATTTTCTCCTGGAGGTGTGCCGCAAGATTTTTTCAGTGAAAAAAGTCTGCCTTGGCTCAAAAAAGGTTGAAAAACACTGCAATACCTGGACTTCTGTGATTTCCAGTTGGTGATCTTTTATTGTTAATCCATTTCCAGGTGCCAACTGGAGCCCATTTTTGTACCATGTAATCTCAGGCCTGGGTACACCATGGGCCTCACACTGTAGCGTGACAGAGGAGTCAACCTGGAGAGTCACAGAGTCTCCACCAGGGCGGGGCTTTAGAGTGGGTAGGACTAGAGAGAGAATAGTAAGAACATATTTTAACTCAATATGATTACTTTGCAACATTATTTTGCAGCAGTGTGAAAAATGTGTTCACCATAAACACTGAGCAGGATACTCTTCTGGTCTTGTCCTGCTGCGTTAGTGGCTGTGCACACATACTGTCCAGCATCTTCTTCTTTGGCCTGAGACAACTGCAGCATCTGTCCACCTTTAGTATTTAAAACACAATCATGAAATTAAACAAGGACGCAATAGGGCACTTAAACGGCACATTAATACTTAATAGAAATACTGACCTGGGAGAATGGTAAATCCATTACCATAGTTCAGGACCTGTCCGTCTCGGGTCCAGGTAATTTCTGCTGTGGGGTAAGCTTGAACATCACACAGTAATGACACCATATGGCCCTTAATGACATTTACATCCTCTTCTGTTGGACCCATGATTCTGGGAGGAACTGCAATTATAACAAGAGAACAAAGTCAAAAAAGGCAATCATTCATTACCAACTCAGGTAATGAATCAGAGTCAGTATAGCTTTACCTTGAACTGTCAGACTGAAAAGCTTCTCCACAGTTCCAACCTTATTTTCTGCTACACACAAATATCCAGCCATGTCTGAAGCCTGAACCTGTAGGAGCTGAATGAGGATATTTCATTTTTACTTTATTTATTGGATCTAGATGTCTCTAATAAAGTGGCAATGGTTTTAACCTTGAGTTGAGTCCCATCTTGACTTATATGGTGCTGCAGGTCACTGTGCACTATGTTCCCATCTCTTAACCAGGTGACAGAGGGAGTGGGGTGTCCGCTTACGTCACAGTGGAGGATGACTGTGCTGTTGACCACTGCTCCTACTTCCTCCAAAAACTCTTCTGTGGCGGTGATCACTGGAGGCACTGATAGAGAAAACACAATACATGTAATCAAAATATACAAAATACTGGGCCTAATTTTAATGGATGATATAATACTTCATAAAATGATTCCGATAAATGATAAAATTGACACTACTTTATGCCACGGATGTACAATACAGCAATTGTTTTCATTGGATTTATCTATTTCATTAGAAAGCTTATACTAAAGTAAATAAACAGAAGATCAGCAGCAAAATATACGACAATAAATATTGAGAAATGCATAGTTTAATCCATTGGTAATTGAACAATAAGGCAACAGAATATGTTTATTCCTACCAAGGACTTCAAGTTCAAAATGCATCTGATCTCTGCCTGCTTCGTTCACCGCTTCACAAGTGTACTTTCCAACGTCTTCCTTTTGCACACGCCCAATTTGTAGCATTTGTCCTCCTAAAAAGATAAACATTCTTAGTGCAACGATTGCTCCTATTGTGAGGATTATCATTGATGAAAATAAAAGTTACTCCATCCAACCTGGGAGTAACAGGACTCCGTCGGCAGAGGAGAGTTTTTGTCCGTCTTTATACCAGCTGAGTTTGGGTGGGGGTATGGCGTTACTTTCACATGACAGGCTAATGGTATGACCGAGCACCACCTCTCGTTTTTCCACCATTTCGTCGCTGACTTCATCCTCGTCATGTCCGAAACCCCAGGCCTCTCTATTGTTGACTCGCTGGAAGATTGGAGGGACTACAGAATGTAAAGAATAATTAGTGATATGTGATATAGAATAAGATTAGTACACAGTAGATTGTGTTTCCTCACAGACCTTGAATTATGACATGGAAGTCTCTCTTGTCTTCTCCTGCTGAGTTTGTCACTACACACGTGTATTGCCCCTCATGAGAGAGTACAGCTTTCACTATATGGAGGACATAGCCTTTCTCTTGAATCCCAGCATGATTGTTTCCTGAAAGCAACTATAAAGAAAATCATGTTTCTATTAATCCTATTTAACCTATTTAAAATGTGTAAAATGTATTTCTAATGCCTATAGGATGTTCACCCTTGGCACTCATGTGCATTCACCTGTCCATCTTTGAACCACTGGACCTTGGGATCAGGGAAACCTTTGGCCAAACAAGACAACGTTAAGCTCTCGTTGATTCTGACTTTTTCTGCCTGGACTCCAAATAAGGAAGAGGATCCTTCAATCTGTGGTGGAACTGAAGTAAATATGTTAAGATATATGATAATGATAATAAGTCTGGTTTAAAGTCTTGTTACAATGTAATTATATGTTACCCAGAACACTGAGGGAGTAGTGTTTGGTGGCTGTCCCTGCTGTGTTGGACGCTCTGCAGGTGTATAGACCAGTGCTCTCTCCCGTGGCTGACCCCAGCCTCAGGGCCTGGCCTCCTCGAGTGTATGTGAGCTGAGGACTGGACACAATGGGCTGGTTGTCCTTGAGCCAGGTGATGGTGGGCGGAGGAGAGCCCTCCACATCACAGGGTAGGACTGTGGAGAAACCAAGCACCACGGACACGTCTGTGCTCTCACTGGGCCCTTTAAAGGCCGGAGGGGCTGCAGAGAGGAAACAACAGGACACTTTTAACATCCTATAACCTTTTATGAGCTCAAAGCACAGAGCAAGATTAGATTTGCAGCCAGTGTCAAACTCGGAAAGGAGGAAAAGCACTGTCAGCAGAGCATGTAAGGGAATTATAGTGTTTAATATATTGCAAAGGCATAGATGGAAGTGAGATTAAAGGGTAACAGTTTTTGCAATATCAGCAATGATACCTAAAAACGGTACAATGAAAGGTAGTAGAAAACAACAACATAACATTACAAAAGACACAATGGCTTAATTGTGTGTATATCAGTAATTGTAATGGTATCAATTATCAAATACAATTATGCATAACTTTTGACAATAAATACTATAAAATACAGACCATGGACTGTTAGTCTGAACTGACGCATCTGTGTCCCTGCGTTGTTTCTGGCCAAACATTGGTACAGCCCCTGGTCCCTCAGACGGACAGACTTGACCTTTAGAACCTGACCATTCTCCAGAAACTCCACATGAGGATCACCATCAGGGGATAGCACTCTGTCAGAAACAACATCTATTGAAATGTATGTGTTTCCATAATTACTTAGAAAATAGAAATGGCATCTTACTCTCCATCACGACTCCATTCAACTTTAGGAGCCGGTCGGCCGCTGACTCTGCACTGAAACTCCACCTCCTGTCCCAGGACAACGGACAGCTCCTGCAGCTTGGACGTTCCGGAGATCTCTGGGGGCGCTGAAAGAAGCTCAATTAAATATGGATAATGGAAATGTTGCATAACCTGATCACTCTTTATACATTATTTAAACAGATATTCAATGGGAAGTTAACATTCAGAACTAATTCAAACATATGTTGGAGGAGACTGGAAATTTTGTTCTCACCTTGAACCACTATATTATACTCTCTCTGAGCTTCTCCAGCAGAGTTCTTAGCTGAACACTGGAAACGCCCGGCATGTTCAGGTTGAACTCTGAAGATTCGTAGGAGTCTGTTTCCATTTTGTATGAACACTCCAGGACTGTCCATCTGCACAGAATTCAACAATACTGTAAGTGTCAATGCCGTTATCGTGCTGACCACTTGATGGCAATGTGCTGCTAAATATGTTGCTCATCATCAGGAATTATGTTAATAATGAGGTGGAAATAAATGTTTGCAAAATAAGTGATACTCACAGGGCGACCATCTTTGGACCATGTAATCACTGGAGAGGGGATGCCAAACGCATCACAACCTAAAGTCAGGGGCTGTCTCAGGGTGACGGTGAGGTTCAGTGCCTGCCCATCATCTGGAATTTCTGGGGGAACTGGTAGAGCAAACAAATGTGATTGTACCGTTTTTCCTGTATAAGAGCTTAAATAAGAGCTTTACCATTCACTTTCAGTCTGGTCTTTCTCTCCACAGAGCCTGCTTCATTTGTTGCAACACATTTGAAGTCCCCGCTGTGGCTGGCAGACGATGTGCTAATTATCAGAGAGCCGTCCCTTGCCACAGAAAACTCAGAGAGTTCAGGGAGGATCTCCAGTCCGTTCTTGAACCAGCGGATCCTGGGGGGAGGCAAACCTGTCACACACAACACAGATTTTGACTTGAAATTAGTCTCAGATTTAAAAGTTGAAAAAGTTACTCTATAACATTTAGGTAAAGTTTTATTCAGGTATTTTTCATTTTTTTTTCATTTATTTATTTATTTAATATGGACATAGCAATTAACATTGGACGAACCAGATGCATTGTTTAAAGTGTTATAGCACAAGTGCTAATTTTCAACACCTGTCCATAGGGGGCTTTTAGGTTAAAGGTAAGGTGTAATCTACCACAAGGTATGTGTGGCTACAACACATCCTCAACATTGCCCCACTATAATACTTGATTTTAAGGATAAGTCACAAAAATTAACAGCACACTTTAAGCTCATATAAAAATGTCATTTTGAAGTAAATCAACCTGTTCCTGAAGCTCTTATAATTCTGCACAAAAAGTGTTCAGTCTTTTTTTTTGCCAGGGACATGTTTTGTGGAGTTCATGAGAGTTTAATCATGTAGTGTTTGTTAAGAGGGATCTTTTACCTGTTTCATAAACTGTGACCAAACTGGGTGATCATGCCAGTGTGTGTGTGTGTGTGCTTGCCTGAGCACTGCTTCTGTCAGTCTGCCCCAGGGCAGCTGTGGCCAGTTTTTAGTATTTAAGTATTTGTCTAAAAAGCACTGTAATAAAAACATGTATTATCATTATTGTCATTGTTAATATTATTATTAAAGAATGGGATCCTGAGCTGAAACATAATAATATCTGATGTAAAAAATATATTCATATATTTTGTGTCCAGTTAATCTTATATACCTTGTACTGTATTTGTATTTATTTTTTAGTGTCTAGTGCAAGATATTGGTTCTGAAACACAACCAGGAGGGACATAATCTTTGTGCTTGCACCGGAGAATGTATTTATATTCAGAATAATGAGACTATTTCATAAAGTTATTAACGCAGTTCATTCATTCTATACTTACAAAAAGCTTGTATTCATTTGCTAAACCCAGCAGGGAAGATTATGCCATTTTGTAAAGAAAGAAAAGTTAAAGTAATCAGGACAATATTAAGCTTGAACACATTATGCATTGATTTAGCATCCCCAAGTAAGACTGGTTCATTAACAGTTCAAAGGTATATACACTTGGAGTCCCATGAACAGAAGTCTTTTGTGGATACTGGTTAAAAAGGTCGAATAACAGCCATGCACATGTAGTCAACCAGAGCAAGGAAACAGTGTGAGATATTTAGGGAAGTGGACCGATTCAACTGCCCCTCTCTGTCTATTTACAGAGGTGTTATATACACAAGCCCCAGCAACGAGGCCTGGCCACACCCTCCTCCTTTCTGGAAATGACTCTACTAGATCGGGGCGCACACATGTGGACAAATCACTCAGAGGCATAAACATTGCCTCACTGCAAATAGGAAATGCACGCAGATGTTTTGTTTTCGATGTTAACTGATCTCATTATAGCACTTTGAATTATATTGCCTGAGCCCATACAGTCTGGGATTAATTAACTCATGTGTAACCCAAATAATTACCACTATCAAATGAAAAGGGTTTGAGTTGGTAATGTCCTTCCGGCTAACACACTTTATCTAGCCCATATGTACTTTCTCAAGGATAAAGGGGGATTGTTTGTTTCCTGTGTATAACCCTAACCTAAGCCAAGGTTGGCGCAATAAATGCAACAAATTGTAATGTTGAGTGTTTAATTTGATATTGAAATTTATTCATTTCAGTTCTGTATCCGTTCAATGACTCTTCAAGAGGAAACAATGAAAAGTGGTTACTCTGAACATGTCTCCTCCATCCTCTAATAATAATGTGCAATACTGTATTGCAATCATACTGCATAAGAGTGCTGACATCATCCATAGTGTTTGCAGAATGTGGAAGAAGCCAATTTGAACATAAGCTAGCTGGAGCCAATTTCTTGTATGGGCATTTTTTAACACAGGGTTAACTTTGCGGCGTAACAGGGGCAGATGTGTTGCTAAGGTGGTTGCTAAGGCAAGCTGGAGTTTCCCCTGTAAATGAAGGCATCTGATTGGTCAATCCTTATGATTCATACATGAATTTCCAAAGAGAAATTAAAATAAAGTGGTTTAACACTATATTATACTGGTAGAATATATATATATATATATATATATATATTAGTGCTGTCCAACGATTAAAATATTTAATCGCGATTAATCGCATGAATTGCATAGTTAACTCGCGATTAATCGCAAATTAGTCACACATTTGTATCTATTCTTTATGTCCCTTGAATTATCATTTTAATACTACTAAAAAGTGAATAGGCGTGCTGTGTGCAATTGCTTTTTTAAATATTTTGTAAATTTGTTCATGTAAATACTCTATGCTGTTTCTCTGTTTACTTTCGGTATATCTATGACTGTATACTGTTTGCTTGTATTGCCTTTTTTATTAACCCCTCCCCCCCATCTCCCACTTCATGTCCCCCCCCCCCCTCCCCTATGTGCCCTTCTGGGTTTCTTCTTTGGCCCCCTGTATCTCCATATTGTTTGTAATCTCTGTCTACAATGTATCTGAACTAGTCCTTTTCTTTGTTTCTATTTTTTTTTCTGTATATGTGTTTGTCTGCAATAAAAAGTAAAAAAAAAAAAAAAAAAAATCGCGCGATAAAAAAAATGACGCCGTTAATATTGATTTGCGTTAACGCGTTAATAACGCGATATTTTGGACAGCACTAATATATATATATATATATATATATACATATTTAAAAACACGTTTATATTGTTCAAATCCAAATGACCTATAATAATTGACCAATAAGATGCCTTCTGTCTCCAAATTCAGCTTTGGCTAGCGAGTACTGCAATCTTGAACAGGCCAGTGCTGCCCATTATTGGCTCTTTGGTTACTAGGCCGTTGCTAGGCCATTGCTATTGCAGAATTTGGCGCCCATGGAGCCTGAATGTGTTCACTCTAATCAGATGCTCTATGGGTGACATGAACAGTGACTACTTTCTGCTATAGTCACAACAGAACATGTATCCATTGTGTGACAAAACATTCTTTTCTCCAACAGAGCATACAGAGAAGACCAGTTCCTCTTTCCTTCAACATGCACCTCAGACATCCCTGTTCTTTATCTACAGCAGCAGCAGTCTGTAATTAGGATTCCTCTCGCAGCAGGTACCGTCACACAGGAAACCAGATGTGGCTCACTGAAGCAGGCCGAATGATAGGGCAGCTGTTGTTTCACATTATATGCTTGTCTTTGCGTTTTCTAACAAGCAAGTTACCATGACATCTTAAGATAAACACACAATGCATCAGTTACACCTACTTCATGCAGACAAGACCTCAGGCTAACAATAAAAAGGGGGATAGGGCAGGTCTTAATCATTGATTGTCTTGAAATACATGTTGTTCAGTGTAATATACAACTAATCGACAAGAATACAACTATGAAAAACATACAAAGAGCATGTTGTATGAAAGACTGAAAAGGGGAAAAAGTTGTAAGTGGTCCATGTCTTGCTACAGCTAAAAAGATTAAAAGAAATAAGACAATTCAAGGACTTTCCCGTTCACATTCCTTCACAAGTCGCACACAAAAAAAAATCTAAAACAGCCTCTCACGTTAGGTCAGGTGGTGCAGTTTCCAATTATGGCTCAAAAATGTGTCACAGAGTCTAATCCTTTTAATTAAAAATGACTTGATGCGGTATATTTCAGGGTATGTGAAAATGTGTTCAAACCTTGTGCAGGGCAGGGGATGACAACCCGGCTGTTCGCTACATTATCCATAATGGTGTCTCCAGGTTCGACAAACGATGGGGCCTCTGAGGACATAGAACAATATCAGGACTTTATAAATAGCAATAAAGATGCTAAGAAAAAGAAAAAAAAGAAACAAGAAAAAAAAACAAAAAACACACACATCAAATACATGCATAAATAAAACATGCATAGATAATACACACATAGATAATGATAATAATAAATACATTACAATCAGATAAGGTTGAAACCTAAAGGAATAGAAATGTCTATTTTTTTAGGGGTTTTTTGCTACACAATATACTGTGAC